TGGCAGACCTTGGTGTCATTCACATGATGCTGGTTTTGCAGGTGTTCAGGATGCAAGAGTTATGGGGTTATGGAGGCTTCCACTGAGATTTCAAAGGAAAGCCTTGGGAGGACAGGAGATACGGGGCAGGATCTGAGATCCTGCAGGCAGCCTTGGGCAGGGCATTGTGTAGTGAAGCTGTGAGAGTGAAGCCAGAGCTGCAAAGGAAGTTGGAGATGTTAGGAATGTAAATTATTTTCATAGAGGAGAGGGAGACAAGTTTTTTCAAATAGTCATCATTTCTGAGAAGGAAAAAAACCTGTCTTCTGTTTGGAAGAACCAGGCTTTGAGAAGTATTTAGAGATGAATTCTTGTAAGATGTGAAACTCAGACTGAAATTTAAAGATTGGTAAAGGAGTTCATCATGCAAAGGGTGGGAGAAAGAACATGTGCAAAAACCCTGAGGTGGGAAGAAGTCTGAATTACTCGAGGAACAGAATAAAGGAGACTGGTAGGAGAGGAGATAGCTATGGGCCAGGTTACCTAGGACCTTGTGAGCTTTATCCCTCACCTTTCCCAACTGTTTTATCCAGTTAACCAGTGTTACTAATAATCGTTTGAAACATTGAGCCCCAAACTCTTTCATGTCATAAATCCTTATTTAACAGTTAAATTGTCAATTTCATCCACATGACCATCTTCTGTTTACATTCAGCTTTTAAGATTCCTTTTCACCAAATTAATTTTCACAGCTTCTCTCATTATACAGTCTATTTTGCAGTTTGGGATGGGGCTACTGTGGATTCAACCCAGATTAAACCAAGGGGCATTTGACCGCAGAGCCACATCCCTAGCCTTTTTTATTCTTTATTTTGAGACAAAGACTCACTAAGTTTCTTAGAGCCTTGCCAAGTTGCTGAGGCTAGTTTTGAAATTGCAATCCTTCTGTCTCAGCCTCCTGAGTTGCTAGAGTCGCTGGGAATATAGGTGTGTCACCACATCTGGCTAAAAGCTGTATTTTCATGTCATTATTATTTGGTTAGAGATTATCTTCCATTATTTTCATCATATGTGCCTAAGTGATATGCTTGTGAATTTTTGCAAGTTCAAAAATGTCTTCATTTTTGTCTTTATTACTAGAGGATGGGTGTTTTCTTGATTTTTTTTTTTTTTTTTTTTTTTACGGGGGAGGTGGTTTACTGTAGATTGAACCCAGGGCACTTAACCACTGAGCCCCATCCCCAGCCCTTTTTATATTTTATTTGGAAACAGGGTCTTGCTGAGTTGCTTAGGGCCTTGCTAAATTGCTAAGGCTAGTTTTGAACTAATGATCCTCCTGCCTAAGCCTCCCGAACCACTGAGATGATTACAGGCATACATGCTTGGATGTTGGTTTTGTAGTTTCCCCTTAATCAGGTGGAGATTGTCTGTCTTGTGGTACCACAGGTAAGAAGTTTTATGTTAAATTTTCTTGTAAGAAATGTTTTTTTCTTTCTGAAAGTTTGTAAATTTTCTTCATGTTCATAAAATTTAGGATTTCCATTGGAAAGTGATTTTTTTCTTTAATTTAAAAATATTCTTCCCTGTAATGAAGCAAACTCTTAAAGTTTGCGTTCAAGCTTTTAAACTAGAAAATTTTCTTCTTAGTTTCATTTCTTTTTCTCCTTGTAGAACTCCTGATTTTATTTTAGAGTTCACAAGTCTTGTATTACTCTTGTGATTTCCATGTCTTTTTGTTTTTTACCCTTTGTCAAAAGCAATAGGAGGGCTGGGGTTGTGGCTTAGTGGTAGAGCACTTGCCTCACATGTGTGAGGCACTGGGTTTGATTCTCAGCGCCACATATAAATAAATAAATAAACAAACAAATAAATAAAGGTCCATCGACAACTAAAAAAATACATATATATTATATATAAAAGCAATAAGACAATTGTAGTTGTTTTAAGCCTTTTTAATTCCAATTCAGTATAAGAAACATGTTTTATATAACAAGCCAGTTCATAAAATCTAAACAAATATTTCATGAAATAATATGTATCATTACTATTGTGATGCACTTCATTTTTTATTCTAGTTTATTCTTATTTTACTTAAAAAAGAAAGAAAGATGCTAGTTGCTGTATGCTAAATCAGTGTTTCTCAGCTATGGGCAGCACCCTCACCCTGTCAGGAACAATTAGCATATTTGTAGACATATTTGATTCTCAAAATTGAGGTTGCCACTGGCATCTAGTGGATAAGAGGCCAAAGATGTTGCTAAACATTCTATAATGCATGGAATGGTTGCTGACAACAAATCATCTGATCAAATGTTATTAGTGCCAAGTTTGCGTGCAATAAATTGATGTTTTGAAAAACTTGTAACAGAAAAGAGGTTTATTTACTTCATAGTTTGTGAGGTTCCAGGGCGTGGCACTGGCATTAGCTTGGCTCTGGTGAGAACCTCATAGTGGATGCCATCACAATGGCAGTAGCATATGCAGACAGGAAGCCAGAGACTAGGGAGGGGTCCAGCTTTTCTATAAAGACTTTCCCTTGAGAGAACAATTGAGGTCTCAAGAGAACTTCCTGAATTCTTAAGGCGGTGTTCTCACTAACTTAATGACCTCCCATTAGACCCTACCTCTTAATGGTGCAACATTAAGGGCCAGACTTCCAACACATGAACTCTTGAGGGACAAACCATATCCAAAACATAGTGTTTCACCTTCCAAGATTCATATCTGTCACACAGTAAAAAAAAATACAGCCATTTAATCTCCAAAATCCCCAGTGTCTTTTAACTCTTCCAGTATCACTTAAAAGTCCAAAGTCTCATCTGAGACTCAAAGTAAATTCCCAGCTGTGAGCCTGAAAAGTTAAGAAACAAGTTTCATACTCTTAAAATACAAAGGTAGGATAAAGATAGGATAAACATTCATATTCCAAAAGGGAAGAGTAATCTGGTAGAAAGCAGTAATCATCCCAAATTAAGACCCAAGCCCAGTAGGGGTGACATTACATCTTAAAGCTATAATTCTAATATCCTGCACATACTTCAGTGGTGGGAAGCCTCAGGCAGCCCTGGTCCTACAAGTTTGCTGGACATAGGCCACATAACTACTCTTTGGGGCTACCCACAGATGTTTGATCTTTTCTTAGGCTTGTTGCCCTTTGTTTCTTGGGTCCTGGCTGTGGGCCTAGTTCAACTAGGCATTCTCCCAGTGGAGACTCTGCCAGGGCCCAGACCCTGTAGCAAACTTCTGCCTGGTCTTCGAGGCTTTTTTTTGAAATCATGGTGGAAGCCGCCACAACTCTTGCATTCTGTGTATCTGCAAAATAAGCAATACCTGGATGCCATTAAGATCTGCAACAGACCAAGTAGTACCTAGGCCCACTTGAACCATACCTGCAGCCGACAGACACTTCACTGGCATATAAGGCAACTCCAGTTTCCAAAAGAATCCTCATTTCCTTCTGAAACTAATTGCCTAATCTCCTGGTCTTTGGAACTATTTCCAGAATTGCCTGTAAGGTGCTGCTTTCTAAAAAATTCTATGCTTTTTCTAGTTTGCTTTTTAAACTCTTTCAATATACCCATTTCCCAGTTCCAAAGCTGCTTTTTCACATTTTATAGTCAGAGCAGTGACCCTATTCCTCACTACCAATCTGTTTTTGTTGCTGCACAAAAAATCCCAAGGCTGGGTAACTTGTAAAGAAAAGAAATTAGTTTACAGATTGAAAAGTTCAAGGGCATAGTACCAGCATTGGCTCAACTCTGCTGAGTAACTTATGGTGAATGGGCATCACAGTGCTTCTGCACACGTAGGAGGGAGAAATCATATGGCAAGACAGGAAGCCAAAGACATAAATTGAATTTTTGACTTCTCAGTGGTTTTCAACTCTGCATTCAACTCTGGGAAAAGTTATGTCATAAGTCTAAGATGAATTGGTGACTAGTAGTTTAAAAACATGCACTTGCTGGGTGTGGTGGCCCATTTCTGTAATCTCACCCCTTAGGGAAGCTAAGTAAGCAGGATTGCAAATTTGAGTCCAGCCTGGGCAATTTAGGAATACCCTGTCTCAAAGTAAAGTTAAAAGGGTTGGGGTATTGCTCAGTAATAGAGCACTTGCCTAGCATGTGTGAGACCCTTGGTTTAGTTACCAGTACTGCAAACAAAAGAAAACAACCACACATGGCATCTATTATACATGACAAACTTCTAGTCCTAATTTCACAGTTATTTTTTTAAACAAAAGCTTTATTTATTTTTGTATTGGGGATTGAACCCAGGGGGTGCTTTACCACTAAGCTATAATTCCAGTCCTTTTTATTTTTTATTTTGAGACAGGGTCTTTCTAAGTTGCTGAGGGTCTTGCTAAGTTGCTGGGGCTGGCCTTGAACTTTTGATCCTCTTTTTTCAGTCTCCCAAGTTGTTGAGATTACAGGCCTGTGCCTCCATGCCTGGCTAAAAAAAACTATTAACCTAATAGTTACCATTGTAAATTTTTATACCTACGTTAAGTTTTTTAGTTAAATTAATTCTTAAGTTAAAAATAATTCTTTTGTTTGATTATGCTGTGTTATGAATGTTTGTTATTGAAGATGAGGCAAATTAAACCAGTTTAGTAGATATTAATTCTGTTTGGAATTAAGGTTACCACATATGATATGTAGTCTTGTACCACCGGTATGTTGTACTTTAAAGTACAGAACAAACAACATCCTCAAGTGGTTTGAATATTAGCAGATTTTTAAAGATACTGCATTCTGGTAAGCCCATGTTTCTCTGTAGTGATAGAAATAAAATTATTGTTGTTTAGACTACATAGAAGAGATTATATTAAGCAAGTTACAAATAGAACAGTCAAGGAGGAGATCAAAATGGTTTGCAAAGGTGTATCTTCTTTGGGTTCCCAATCTTAGAGGAGAATTAGCATTTAGCAATAGAAAGGAGTAATTATGGATTATAAGTGAATTTGAAGATCTGTAAAGTTTTTTTTCCAAATCTCAATATTCTTTCCTCTTATCTACCAACAGGTACAACTGTAACAGCTTTGAGATTATTTAAGAATCTACCTGTAAGAAAACAATTTTACTCCACCGCTAAAAAATGTAAAGATGAAATTAAAAAGGTCCAGGATCTCCTCATAAGTTATGGTATCCTTAGACCAGATTTAAGGATTGTTTTTGTACATAATAAGGTGAGCACTATTGAATTTTATAAAATTCTTTAAATATACAATATAACAAAGGAATAGTGTATATTATATAAATCAGATATCTAGTATGGACTGAATGTTTACTGTCCCTTTCACTACCCAATTCATTTCTTGAAAACTTAATCACCAATGTGATGGTTTTAGGATATGGAGCCTAGTGCATGAGGGCAAAGCATTCATGAATGTTGTTAGTGCTCTTATAAAAGAGACTCCAGAGAGCTGCCTTTCAGCTTCTACCATCTCAGCACACACAGTGAACCAGGAAGTTGGTCCTCACCAGACTTTTAGGATCTTGGATCCTAGCCTCCAGAACTGTGAGAAATGCATTTCTTCTATTTACAAGCCACCTGGTTTATAGTGTTTTGTAATAGTAGTCCCAAGGAAATACATAATCTTTTTTCAAAAATATAGTTCACGTTCATTTATTTTTATCTTTGTTATATAAAAAATCTATAACTTGTCAACTAATATCTGTATGAAATCTGATTAAACCTTATATTCTTAATATATAAGACCAGAGATTCCCTAAGTAGACTTTTTTATCCAAGAAATTCTTGAGCACTCCCTTTTATGAAAAGCTAAGATAGACTCTGAAAATCTTGAAGATGGGTAAGACTTGTTCTGTTCCTTTAAAGAGTGTACAATTCAGTGACATGTTTTTACCTTCTAAACTGTTTTTTTTGTTGTTGTTGTTTGTTTTTGTTTTTTTAAGGAAACTACCTCATTTCTTTCCATTTTTTAGAGCAGGGCTTATAAGGAAGGGATTTCATCTTATTGCTTGATGAATTTTATGGGAAAGAAAGTTTCATGTATTTTCTGATTTTTTTTTTTTTTACAAAATTCCACATGAGCACCTTGAAATATTTAGTGGAAGGAGAGCAGAATCACACAGCAGCATGGAAGCCTCAGAGGAATAAAGAATTAACACTTGCAAGCCAGGATCTATCTAGGTGCATTAATCTCCTGTAATCCTCACAATAACAACCAAGTGAGGTGGACATTTTATCAATTTTGCAGTTGTCCTCTGAGCTGAACTCCAAGAGGTTCCATACTTTGCTTAGTGTTGAGCAACTAAAAAGTTGTTGAAATGGAATTTGAAACTTAGCATGCCTTGGAGTGCAGGTTCTGTACACTCTATTGTGTTCTCTTCCCAGTCTTTTTTAAAAAATATAAATTTATTTATTTATTTTAATTAGGTATATATGACAGCAGAATGCATTTTGATACATTGTACACAATTGCAACACAACTTTTCATTTCTCTTATTTTACATGATGCTAGATGTAGCATTGCACCACATGTGCAGTGATACATGTATAGAGGTGGTAATGCCCATCACATCCCATCATCTTTCCTGCCCCCATACCCACTCTCTTCAGCACTCTCCCCTTTGCCCAGTCACATTTCCTCCCCCGCACTCCATTATGGATCAGCATCCACTTATCAGAGAGAAGATTTGGCCTTTGGTTTTTGGGGATTGGCTTACTTCGCTTAGCATGATATTCTACAACTTCCTCCAATTACTTGCACATACCATAATTTTTTCTCTTTTAATGTTGAGTAATATTTTATTGTGTATATATACCACAGTTTCTTTATCCATTCGTCTATTGAAAGGCATTTAGGTTGGTTCTACTGCTTAGCTATTGTGAATTGTGCTGCTATAAACATTGATGTGGCTGTGTTACTATAGTATGCTGATTTTAAGTCCTTTGGGTATAGACCTAGGAGTGGATAACTGGGTCAAATGATGGTTCCATTCCAAGTTTTCTAAGGCATCTCCATACTGCTTTCCAGAGTGCTTGCACCAATTTGCAGTCCCACCAGCATAGTCCTTTTCCAAATTTCAGAATACTTAAAATAACTTTGTGAGATAAACAGCATTATCTCTGTATGAGGAATGAAGCTCAGAGTGATCAAAGGAATTGTTTCACATTTTGTACTAAGTAATAGTGCTGAGGTCAGAAGCTATTTTGTCTCAGTTTCTTTCTATTCTATGTCTTTTTTACTCATTTATCAAGAAGATTCTTTATCTTCTGACTTCAAGCCATGGTGAAATGTTTATGATCAAAATCTTTGGTCATATTAAAAGAAAAAAATTAAGACTAGTCAGCCACCTGTTCCTGTTGGCATAGAGCTCAACCAAATGATACCTTGAGATCCCTTTCAGCTCTACCATGGTATGATTCCTCAGGATGTTGATGGATAGAGGCTGGTCCTGCTAATATAAATAACCCTATGACCTCTTGATTCAGAAGACGTTAAGTAATTAAAAGTTAAATGTCTCCAAGTTAAGAAAACACCAAGATCAGAAGAAACATGGTAATCAGAAAGGGAAAACAGATGAAAAGGCTAACATGTGAGTAGAGATAGGAATTAGTTGTTCGTAAAAGAAAAGTGATTACTAAAAAGTTTTGAATGATAGACAAAATAGGATTATTGCCTCACATAATGAAAATGAGTATATCAGAATTATTTGGTTGAGATCTTGAGTTTTTATTCATTTGAAGTCAATATAAGTCTTTTAAATTTTAAAGTTTAGTGTAGGTGTTTTCTGCTGAGAATTGAAAGTAGTATTTTGTAATACACTATATTTTAGTATTTTCAGAGGACACTATTGTCTGAACTTATATTAAACAAATGCCTTTATGGCCTTCAATAATTTCTGATGCAGTTCAACTTCTGGAGCGTATGTTGAATGTTATACTATGAAAGTAATAAAAGATTATCAAAAGTCTTACAGTAAAATTGAACATTAGCTATTGTTATGCAAGGAGACAGACCATGGACTGAATTAGAACAGGCTTTTTATTTTTGAGCTCTTTTGTTGTTAGTACAGATTATTATTCTAATTTTTTGTTTTTCAGTAGTCCTGTTGTGCCTCAAGAAATGTTAAACTATATTGTTGAAACTTCCAAAATAGTATTGACATGTTATCCTCAGTCTCTTTAAATGTTGAATCCTTCAGTGCTCTTAGTCTTTTTCTTTTAAACATTGTTAACTTTCATCACTCCTTCATATGCTGTTGGGAAGGATGTTTTGGTCTTTGTTTAAAATTTAAACATGATAATATTGATGTCTTTATTTTTTTTTTCTGCTTTAGAAATCAACAATCATACTGCCCATAATATGAGAAGTCCTATTGCTATTTTGATAACTTGGATTAGATAGTGTTCCTTCTTTTTATGAAGGTTTAACCTGCCAAGACATTCTTTGAATACTGATAATGTTGATGTTCTTGCCAGTATGGTTATGTTAGAAAGAGGTATTTTTCTTCTTTCATCACCATGTTCCTTGAAAGCATATTGAATAATGAGACGGCTAAAGGAAAATAATTTACAAGTGCATTCAGTGAGTTTATTTAAAGTAGATATTATGTGGAGAATTGCTGGAGCCATTCCTTAAATGAACATTATAGTTTTCAGGTTTAATGTAAAAACTGAATCCATGTGAGGTCTTGCTATATATATTTTCATTTATAAAGTAGTTATTAAAATTTTTCTCTATGGTATTATCTGAAACCAATTTAGTATTCTTAGCTATTTCATATAAACATAAATAATTTTGTGGAACTCTAAAACATAATGTTAAATTTGTGATTTTAAATAAGGGCTATTCTCATACTTCGTAATCATTGATTTTAAGTTTTTCTTAAAATATTTGTAGTTTTAGACACTGTTTTGAAGTTTTGTTTTGTTTTGTAGTGCTGGGGATTGAATCAGGGCCTCAAACATACAAAACATATGCTCTACCACTGAGCTACATCTCCATTCCTGAATTTTGTTTCAATAATTAGAAGCCCACTGGTGTTGCAAAAGCTGAATTGGATGTATTGATTTCAGAATTTTTTAACTATTAAAAAAGAGAGTGACATGATTCAAAGAATGGCTTCCTGCCAGGTGTGATATCACACACCTGTAATCCCAGCAAGAGGATCATGAGTTCAAAGCCAGCCTCAACAGTTTAGCCAGGCCCCAAGCAATTTAGTGAGTCTCAATTGCTTGTCTTAACCCTTTCTCAAAATAAACCTAAAAAGGGCTATGGATGTGGCTCAATGGTTAAGCACCCCTGGATTCAATCCCCCCACCCCAAAGAAAAAGAATGGCTTCCCTCTTATTTCCACCTCCGTGTTACACAAGAGTGTTAAGACTTATTGGAATCAGTTCTTGTTGTGTGTATTTGTGTTTTGAGGTCTGATATAATGATAACACAACTTTGAAGGGTTGAATATTTCTGATTTCAGTCAGTCTGGGAAGAGGCAAGGACCTTAGCCAGAAATACAAAAACAGAAACCTGGTTTGATTGTGAAATGTAGTAGCCTCATTTCTAGGTTTGGTTTTCCAAGTCTCTAGGAAAACACTATTTTGTGTTTTGGATTTGGAAACACAAAAAATTTGGATTATAAACTGAAGATTAATAAGTGGTATCTTATCTATATCTGCTTCTTATAATATTCATTTTTTTATGGTATGCTTTGTTCATTGTATCCTCTTTGCCTTTTACTCAAAGCATTTTCAGTGTCCCACCTTTGTTTCAGTTGTGCTATGGGGAGGGGAGTCAAGGAGAAAAGTCTTTGCCACAATTGAACCAGTGTTAAAGATCACCCCCATCTCACCAAAGTTGAAGCAGTACAATCAGAGATTCCAAGTTAGGACCGTGACTCAACTGTTGCTTCCTTAAGAAGAAATTGTTCTTACAGTGCCAATCTAGAAAGTTTGGGTGGGTTATTTTTTTCTTTAATTGATGTAGGTGGGTGTTTCTTCAAATATATTAAAAGGTTAGCTGAATATCAATCATGCTTTTTTAATTTTAAAGGAGATTTTTGCTACTTTCAAATTAATAACTAAATTTATCAAATGGTTTTCATGTCTTTTGTTATGCTAATTTCTTTTACTTTTACCTTAATTCTTTGGAATATTGTATAGAAAAGTATATATAAAGACACATAACAAACTTATAAATGTAGTTGGTTTCTGAATTTT